GAAACGCAACGCCGCCAGGAGGGTAGAGTGTCAGGCAGCCAAGTATGTCATGATGGACGGCCGGCTGTACCGAAGATCCTACACGCTCCCCTACTTGCGCTGCTTGCGACCTCCCGAAGCCGAGCTCGTACTCCGCGACATTCATGAAGGCCTATGTGGTGGACACCTGGGGGGCAGGGTCGTCGCTCAGAAGACACTACGACAGGGGTACTGTTGGCCAACAATGAAAGCAAACGACGTCGGGCTAATCAGGAAGTGCCAGAAGCACGCCAATATTCACCATCAGCCTGCCGCCGACCTCAAGTACCTCACCAGCCCATGGCCCTTCGCACAATGGGGTATCAACGTACTCGGGCCATTCCCGCCAGCAACAGGAGGAAGGAAGTTCCTAGTAGTGGCAGTAGACTACTTCACCAAGTGGATTGAAGCTGAAACTCTCGTAACCATCACAGCTCGAAACGTCCAGAACTTCTTTTGGAAGAACATAGTGTGCCGCTTCGGGCTACCTCGGGTGCTGATATCCGATAACGGCAAGCAGTTCGAAGACATCAAATTCCAAGAGTGGTGCCAAGGTATGGGGATCCGGCAAAACTTCACGTCGGTCGCGCACCCATAAGCAAACGGTCAGGCAGAAGTCACAAACAAAGCTATCCTCCGCGGACTAAAAGCCAGGCTAGACCGAGCTAAAGGGTTATGGGCAGACGAGCTGCCCAGCGTTCTATGGGCATACCGAACTACAGAGAAGACCACCACTAGAGAAGTTCCCTTCAACCTCACCTACGACACGGAGGCAGTCATCCCAGCCGAAATCGATGTCCCCTCACTTTGGTTGGAAGCATACAACGACAATGCTAATAACGACGAGCTACGTACCAACCTCGACCTACTTGACAAGTTAAGGGACCTCGCATACATTAGAACCACAGCATACCAGCAAAGGGTAGCTCGGTACTGCAATGCCAGAGTTAAGAAATGAAACTTTCGCGTCGACGACCTGGTTCTCTGCAAAGTCATGGTACCTGAACCCGGCGTTGGCAAACTCGGGCCGAACTGGGAAGGACCCTACCGAGTGAAGAGAGTACTCGGAGGAGCATACAAGCTCGAGACCCTGGAAGGTAAACAGATACCCCAGGCATGGAACATCGTCAACTTAAGACGATTTTACCTATAAATTAACAAACAAAGCAGGCCATGAGCCACTACCATAGCCTAAGGGCTATCCTGAGCTAGCAAAGACCTCGGCACCCTAAGGCCCGGAATGCCGAGCTAACAGGGACCTCGGCACCTCATCAACGAAAGCAATCTGCAGAAGTATAGAGCCCGAGGTGCATAGCCCAAGGTCCAATTCGGCCTATGTTAACTAACCCGAGCGGAGAACAGATCGGGCACATAGCCTTACTGTTAACTCGCCTCGGGGCTTAAGTCTAGGAGCTCGGGTATATAGTCACTTTGACAAAAAGGAGAATATTTGCACAGCACTTTTGAAGAGAAAAAGTACTTCATTGCTAAACGTTTGCTTTACAGTGTTTAAAAAGAAAAAGCAAAAACAAACAAAAAACACAAACGAGCTCACAAGCCCAGAGGTCAATCTTCCTCGCCTTTAGAAGGGACTTCGACAACACCCGAAGAACCCGCTTCGTCTTCGGAATCCGCATCGTCATCGGCTACGGCAGCCATCTCCTGAGTGATGCACGAAGTGGTTATGGCACTAACATCGAGCTCGGGGCACGTGTTCCATATCATCCATCGGCTCAACTTGAAACCCCTTCTGTACGAGCCCACCATCATGTCGTCAAAGCACGGCGAAGCGATGTAATCCGTGACGGCTTTCACCTTCGCCTCCTCGACGGCCTGAGAAAAGATCTGAGTCTACTCCCTAATATCTTCCTAAAGGTACTCAACCTGATGCTCCAGGTCCAACTTCAGGTCGGCCATATGTCTCACCACCATTCCTAAGGCCTCTTTCTCCCTCTGAGACCTCGACAGCTCGGCCCGCGCAGCACGGGAAGCTGCTTCGACAGCTTCTACTCGCTTCAAGCCCCTTTCCGCCTGAATGGCCAAGGCATGAATAGAGGAGTTCACCTGCCAGAACGAGGACAAATCAGCTCAGTAAAAAAAAAAAAAGAAAGAAAAAAAAGAAGAAAGAAAGCAAGCACTACTCCGACTTACCATCATGGCGTGAGTTGCGGCACGAGCGCCTATGAGATTTGTAGGAAGATCAGCCCACCGCGCGACCTCCTCAGGGCAAATGGCCTTCTTGCTTTTTCGGAGAGTGTAGCTCAGCGTCAGTACGCTCCCAACCTCCTCGTGACTTCCTGAGCCCAAAGGCACAGCCCGGGTATAGGCAGTGTCGGCATAGGGAGCCCCTGTCGCTTCCCGAACTGAAGGGGGCACCTCGGGCTCCCCAGGAGGCTCCATTCTCGGTGCCTCGGGCTCCGCAACCCAAGAGGGAATGGCGCGGACCCGCTTAGCAGCTCGCTTCCTTCTCTTCATGCCAGCGAACAAGTTTGCACCTCGAGTGTTTTCTGCCTCCATAACACCTGCAAAAAGGAGCTCGACGTCAGAAGACGGGAATAAAAGCAAAAGCATGTATCTTCGTCTGAGCAAGAAACCTACCCGAACTCAGAGCGACCTGAATAAGCTTGTCCTCCGTCAGGTAGACTTCGCATTTGAGCCCTTGTCGGGCCCAGTCTTGGAGTCCCTTCACCGTGTCTTTGTCTAATGCGACACCGGGGTCAAGAGCGGCCAAACCCCACTTAGTAGGAAACGGCCACCCCGTAACACTTCGAACCACGAAGTAGTCCCGCTTCGATGCTGGGACCTTGTTTGGGAGGTCGTGTAAGAGCTTGAAGCTCGGGCGAGGTGACAAGTAGTACGCCCTCCTACGCTCGGGCAGGGGACTCGCCTATT